CTGTCCCTCAGCTCTTCAGCTCAAGGCTAGCGCTCTACCACTTGAGCCACAGCGCCACTTCCGGCTTTTTTCTTTTTGCTTATGTGGTGCTGAGGAATCGAACCCAGGGCCTCAGGCATGCAAGGCAAGCACTCTACCACTGAGCCACCTTTCCAGCCCCTAGATCCTGAAAACTCTTGATGGATATCGACCCATTTGGTTTTTATCACATTTAAAAATACACCATTGAGGGTTTGGGATATAAAAGAGATGTGAAATAAACGGCACGATCATTTACTGATCATTTTCTCACTTAAATTAGAACTTTAAAGGGTCTGGGATACTTGATATAAATAACTCCTATTTTAAAAGTTAATGTTTCCTATATTCCTTTCCTTTAAATGCTCAACTAAACACTTCATTTGTGCACACACACACACACACACACACACTCATATACATAAGCAAAATGATGTCAAAATAGTCTCTACAAGTATAGTTGAAGGAAACAATTATTTAAACCTTGGCAAAGGAAGGTCATGACTGAATCCCCAATGTCACGAAAAAGAAGAAATTATTATTTTTTCCTACAAAATACAAATACTTTTAAATGATCACACCTAAAATATACAAATTTATTCATCAAAATATGAAACTGGTCCGATTTATGATGAAAGAAAATTCAATCAAGTTCCAAAAGCATCCTCCTTTCTCTTTGTTAGCCACAGAAACTATCTTACCCAACCAGACAAAATAAGCTTAACCTTGACAAATTTTCTCCCTGCAGCAAATGTGTACATTGCCGTGGATTTGTAATTACTTTCTGAATTTTGAAGAGCAGATTAAATGACTACATAAGGATATAACTATTACTAAGGATTCTGACTACTACCATACACAAATCTTGCTACTAACTGATTACTGTGAGTCATTATTAAATGAGTTTCCAGGGTTTCATAAGCATTTCTGATGCTGGCGCATCTTTTCTGATACTACATAATGATTGCCTCTGACAAATGATTCAAAACATAAAATATGAGCTTCAAAGAAAACAAAACTGAGTATATGGTAGAATAGATCTCAAGGAAGATTTTTGTAATATCTTAAGGGGAAAAGAATTTTAAAACTACATTTCCAAGTCAAAGGCAGCTTTTCAAGTTTGCATATAAATACTACAATCCATTTTACCAATGGGATCAGTCTTTATAAAGTGCAATGTTTATAGATTTAACATTTGCACTTTAATAACTTGGTTATAACTGTGATAGAAATAATCTGCAAATATCACTTAAAGGCAAAATGCATTCCCTTCTGCTAGGTTGAAATGGACTTCTAATCTGATAGCCAAAGGGCATAGTTTAACTGTCTCTATGGTAACCATCTTTTTCATTTATTGCAGCATCTGGAGAAGGAACATGCTGCGTGCAGCAGCATAATGCAGTTAGTGTTCTATACTTTAATAAATTTTATTTTACACGCTATTTACAGATTACTATCACATCTACAATCTTGGTTCTTAAGGCTGCAGGTTTGCTGGGTCTTCATAAAGTTCTTCTACAGATATCTGGCTATATTAATTCCCTTTGGCAGACTCCTATAGGATGATGTATTTTATTTGGAAAGTACATTCTAATCATTGTTGTTTATCTTCTCAATATCTGTAAGATAGCAATAACATGTGAGCAGAGAAAGCATTGGTTAATACAGAAGGTAGAGGAGCCTGCTAGCCTTTCAGACATTGTATAACAAGCCTGAGAAGCTGAAAGGACTGATTAACTTGTTGCCAATGCCATAATGAAAGAGACATTCAAGGAGACAGATCTAAGAATCAATCTAGTACCGAAATCCAAGGAAAGAGACCTGTTGACACTTCCAAGTAATGAGAGTAATAGTGAGATGAAATTGATGAACTTGAAATGTGGGGCACATATTGTTACTGAAATCTTATAACAATCTGGTGAAGAAAATATAATTACCCCCACTTTCACATAGTTACGGATTTATAAAAAGTTCTCGATAAGATGTGGCCAATATAGAATACTCATTGTCCCCTACATTCATGACACAAATATTTAATGAGCAATTACTTAGTGCTAGGCAGTACACTAGTCATTAGGAAAAACAAAATACTGAAATCATCATACACACTACACTCACAGAATTAACTTTGCTGGTTGACTGTGGTGAAGAGCAGTGTTCAAAAATGATAATAGTAGGGGGGAAGGACTGGGGGGGCAGGGGGGAGGATGGGAAGGGATGTGAAGGGTAAACAAAGGAGGAGGCTACAATGCTTGATAAGAAATGTATGCATTACCTTCCCCATGTAATTGTAACCCCTCTGTACAGTATTTTCACAATAAAAAAGTAAAAAATAAAAATAAACCATCTCACAAAAATGATAATAGTAAATACTTTTCTAGTCTTGTATGCAAGCATTGTTCTACATATTTAACATAAATTATTTATTCAATTTTCCTAACAGCCCTAGAAGGTAAGCTCTGCCACCACTTAGGAATTTAAGTCAGGCAAAATTGAAGTTGAGCAATTTATCCATGGCAATTGTGGTTAGCACAGCCAGGATTTGGACCCACATATTCTAACTGCTATATAGTTTTGAACGGCTATATAGTTCTACCCCTTTAAAGTAGACTGTTGAGGGCTTGGAATGTGGCTAAGTGGTAGAGTGCTTGCCTAGCATGCATGAAGTCCTGGGTTCCATTCCTCAGTACCGTATACACAGAAAAGGCTGGAATGGTGCTGTGGCTCAGGAGGTAGAGTGCTAGCCTTTAGCAAGAGAAGCCCAGGTACAGTGCCCAGGTCCAGAGTTCATGCCCCAGGAGTGGCAAAAAAAAAAGTCTAAAGTAGACTCTCTCTCCTTAGCTCCCAAGTTTGTAGATGTTAAACATGAGAGTTTTTCCCCAGGAGAGAGTTTTCGCAGTATAAAGGGGGATTTGGTACATGAGACACAGCAGAGAGATCTGGGAATTGGGAATACAAATGGTGAGAAGTCAGGCTTGGTTCATGTGCTCCTAGGGTCTACAACTAGCAGAAAAGTACTGTGGGATTATGTGGCCTACCAGCCCTCGGATCAGGAATTTTCTCTGAGGAAATAAGGTTTGGGCATATCTGAGGCAGAGGACAGAGGCTGTGGGAGGTCTCAAGGGAGGAGAAAATACCCTGAGATCAAAGAACTGAGGGGACCACCATTAGGTGAGCAGAAAGGTGGAGGAAGAAGTTTGGCATGGGATAGGAAAATGTATGTTAGAGAGGCAGAACCTTAGAAACAATCTTAAAAAGTTTGAACTTCATTCTTGTGTAAACAGTAAGCCACTGAAAGGTTTTTAAGCCCATGAGAATTGTGATGAATATGCTTTTTTAAAAAGATTGGTTGAAGCCAGGTGCTGGTAGCTCATGCTTGTAATCCTAGCTACTCAGGAGGCTGAGATCTAAGGATCTCAGTTCAAAGCTAGCCTGGGCAGGAAAGTCTGTGAGACTCTTATCTCCAATAAACTCCACAGAAAAAGCTGGAAGTGGTGCTCTGGCTCAAGTGGTAGAATGCTAGCCTTGAGCACAAAGAGGCTTGGAGACAGGGCCCAGACCCTGAGTTCAAGCCCCAGGAACAGGGGAAAAAAGGAAGATCACTTGAGTCAAAGAGTGAAGATCAAATTAAAAGGAGGAAAGATTTATATGGCCCTATTCAGAAGCTAGGCTGCAGTCTGTGTGAGTGTGCTTATGAAGGTTGGTTAGACTGGGTGTTAGCAATGGTAAAGAGGGAGGATTCAAAGACAATGAGGAGATATTAAGAACTTTGATGGAAGAAGAAGGAGCCAATGGGACATAAAGGTCAAAATAGATTGTCCTGGTAATTACAAAACTCATTATTGGGACAATGCTACTATGTTGCAGGGAAGGTGGAGAAGCTGAGCAGTGGGGTACAGGTGATGGCCTGGCAGCTGGAGGGAAAGATAGACATCCATGATGGGTGGCAGGTGAGGAGGAGGAGGAGGAGTCTGCACAGTGGGGAGGACACTGCAGTTCCTTTGACATCTCTAAACATTCTTCTTAAGCTGGTGCTGGTAGCTCATGCCTGTAATCCTAGCTACTCAGAAGGCTGAGGTCTGAGGATTATTGTTCAAAGCCAGCCCTGGAAGGAAAGCCTGTGAGACTTTTATCTCCAATAAACCACCAGGAAACAGGAAGTGGCGCTGTGGCTCAAGTGTTACAGCGCTCGCCTTGAGCTGAAGAGCTCAGGGACAGCTCCTAGGCCCAGAGTTCAAGCCCCACGACTGATTCCCTGTCTCCCCTCAAAGTACTTCCTATACATTTTACTAAATTTCAAGTCATTTCTTTAGACTTACTGCTCAGAAAAGAATTTGAGCAAGCAGAGTTTGACCTTCAAATGTGTGGTTTCTCCATATATAAATTCAGCCAAATATGTACTGAATTATTTTTTAAAGTATCTATCGACAATGTGCAGACTTTTTTCTTGTGATTCCCTAAACAACTATTTATGTAGCATTTACTTTGTAATAGGTGTTTCAAGTAATCTAGAGTTGATTTAAAGTATACAGGAGGAGATACAATCTGATCCATAGGGGGTAGTCTTGGAACACCAAGAGCACATTAATATTTCACTAATATAATTAACATTAATATTTTATTTACCAACTCAAAATCAAGTTTGAGCCGGTCTCTTTTACTTAAATCATCATTGCTGGCATTCAGCACTCGACTCTTCCTTTTGACTTCCTCTGCAGAAATGTTCCCAACCCATCTCAAGTTGTCTTACAAAAGTTCACTTGTAAGATCATTATTTGAATTTATTTTCTAATCGAAAAACAAAACAAAACCTGTGGGTCTCATCAGAACTTGTTTTAACACTTATGCAGCCAGAATAGGAATTTATATAAATTATGTTGGAAGAAATCCATCCCAATTCCTCATCAAACTCAACTGAGCACCCACAATGTGGTCTGAGAAATTAACGATAAGGAAAAGTTTAGTTGGAAATCAGGGGTGAAGGATAAGAAGTTGTGACAAGAAGTTCTGTCCTCTTCTTCTTTTCTTCCTGTTCTGATTTCTCTATCCCAAGAATGTAAAGCAAAAACTAGGCAAGAAATATAGAAGAGTGTTTACTCTAAGTCTAAAATAGAAATCTAGGGGCCTGGATAGTGTACATACTTAATATGGGAGTCCTGAGCACTGCAATCAATAAACAAAAACACAGATGCCCAGATTATACAGGTTTTTCCCTTCCTTGTAAGATTCCTCACCAATTGCTTCTTAAAAAAATTCTCAACAAGACAAAATTTACTTAAGCTAATGAATTAGCTTTTATAATGTAAGTACCAAAAGGTAGTTTCCTAATTAATTCATTGGCCACAAACTATATGCTTGTTGTACGATGGAGCAACAGAAGCTGTCTTGCAAACTTCAGCAGAAAAGGTATCTGATGGAAAGGTACAGGAAAGCTCACAGATTGAACAGGAAGACTGAGCTTCCAGGCTGGATATCTGATAGGAGCTGGGAAAAATAAGGGAACAGCCAGGCCAAAGTCATACTGCAGAAACAGCATATTTGGGATGTCTCAATGGACAGGACTGTCCTCAGCTGTTGCTAGCTGCTCCTCTATGTGTCACTTCAAAACTATCCCTACATAATAGCTTTACTAACCCCAGATTTAATGTCCTGGGTAGGAATCCGTGACCTAAGTAAATGAGAAGAAATGACCTTAGGTTCTGTCACTTTCAATGAACTGCACAGCATGAATTCTATTGAAATAGATGCTAGTCAGCCAGGAAAATGACAGATGTCCACTGCACAGGGCTTATGATGATTTACTAAATTATTGTAAAGAGATAGAATTCCAATCAAGAATTTCAGAAATGTTTGCAAGTAACAAAGAAACAACAAAGAAAATCTGCCCGAGTACCTTTGCTGGCCCACTATAATCTTATTTTAGACTTGAAGGAAATGTGCTCATCAAGATTGTCACTAACGGCCAGGTACTGTAATCCTAGTTGCTCAGGAAGGTAGGATCTGAAGATTGTGGTTCAAAGCCAGCCTACCAAGAAAGTCCATGAGATTTTCATTTCTAATTGATCACCAAAACCCCAGAAGTAGTGGAGCTATGGCTCACATAGTAGAGCACTATAAAAACTCAAGGGGCAGTGTCCAGGCCCTGATTTCAATTCCCAGTGCTAGCAGAAAGAAGAAAGAGAAAGGAAAATGAAAGGAAAGAAGGAAGGAAGAAAGGAAGGAAGGAAGGAAGGAAGGAAGGAAGGAAGGAAGGAAGGGCAGAAGGGAGAGAGGGAGGGAGGGAGGGAGGGAGGGAGGGAGGGAAAGGAAAATTTTTCCTCTAGAAAGTATTTGACTTTTTCTTCCACATAAAATGATAGTAATTTGAAAGTCCCAGATGGATGAATATGAAATTTTTTATTACGATTGAAACTTAATTCATTCATTATAAATCAGAGCAAATGCTTTTCAAAGTTTCACATTTCACCTGGAAAGAAATCTAATTAGCAAAATTGGTTTTTTTACAAATTAATTTCCTGACCCATTTCCTCACAGAATTGAAACTAGACTCAAAGATATGTTCTAGTTATTTATAGATGAGCTTGAAACTTTTATATCTAGGGTTATATGGGCTTTGATATTACAGGTAAATCCAGATGAATAATTGTTAAAATTATAAATGTTATAAACAATAATTTTGAGGAACATCTCCTACCATTATACTAAACTTAAAATTTGGGCATACAGACCTTTCCATTTCTGTTTAAGAAAACTTTTTCATACATTACATCCAACATGTTTTGTTAAGGAATACTTGGAGAATGGGTTTCTTCATGAGGAACTTTAAAGTGTTAAAGCTTAAAAAATCTTGGTAAAACATGCAAGTAAGGTTAGCTGTACAATACTCCTATGTATCATTTACTTCATCCCTGCTAAGATGAAGATAAAAGTTCCCTTTCAGCTAAGTATAGTCTGCAAGATTTGTGTTCTGTGACTTCAACTCTCACTATAAAATAGGGGCTGCAGTAGCTGGCAATGCCTGAGCTGTCAGCAGTGCTGTGGTTCAGCAATCTCCACCAGTATTCAGAGAGTAGTTGGGGCACAGGGAAGGTTATCTGTGAGGTGGTTCAGTATCAAACAGCCCATTATGCTAGTGAGCAGGCCATGGTTGGCCACCATGACCAAGTGAACCTGGTAGACACCAGTTACATGTATTTAGTGGTGGACGATAGAAGACATTAGTTTGAGCTAGGAAAACAGGCAATCAAATAGGGTTGTGATTGACATTTTGTCTTCTCTTCCCCTGACCTCTTCACAACTAAGCAATGACCTGTCCCAACTCCTTCCTGGCATCTTTACCTCCTTTCCCATCAAAATACTAAAGTGATATTATTTATTTTTTCCCGGTCATGGGGCCTGAACTCTGGGCCTGGGCGCTGTCCCTCAGCTCTTCAGTTCAAGGCTAGCGCCCTACCACTTGAGCCACAGCGCCACTTCTGGCTTTTTCTGCTTATGTGGTGCTGAGGAATTGAACCTCATTGGGCCTCATGCATACAAGGCAAGCACTCTACACTGAGCCACCTTCCCAGCCCCTGATATTACTATTTATTTTTGCGATTAACTGAAGTAAACGCCTTTTAGAGGCCTTCCTTTTCCCCTTAACTGAAATGTACTAAGCATTTTAGGGGCCTCCCTGTCCCCCACCTCTAGCCTATACTGATTGACCATGGTGAAGCGCAGACATCTGAAGGCTGCTAACCAGGGCCTCTGACCTCTGAGGTGATGCCACTGTAAAGAAACCACCCCAAAGAGACGATCCCTGTTAAGGAGTACTCCCCTGGGAACTGAACTAGGAAGGTAAGAAACACAAAGGCCAACTAATGAGACATGGGAGCTAGGACAGCTGTTTTGGAAGATACGAGGCAAATACATAGGAGACTACCTCCATGCTCTGCTACTGTAGAGTACTGGTGTATGAACTGCCTGAAGGATTGTTCTTTGCAACAAATGATCCCCAATCTACAAAGCAGCTGTTGCTTTTTTCATTTTTTTTTGTTATTGGGACATAAAACTCAGGGTTTCAAATTCTTGCTTGGCTGGCTCACTCATGACTAGTGCTCTATAACTTGAGGTACAACTCTAGTTCTAGCTCTTTGTTAGTTAACTGGAGACAAATCGCAAGGATTTGTCTGCCTTTAATGCTTCAATCTGTGATCCTCAGATCTCAGCCTCCCAAGTAGCTAGGATTAGCAGTGTAAACTATTAGTTTCCAGCTGCTTAATCTCTGTATTTAGTTACAATAGAGATATTTTTAGTGAGAGCAGAAGGCAATCCTTTTTTTTAATTGAGACAATGTCTCATGTTCAGGATGGCACAGAACTCTGGATCTTCCTTACCTCCCAGGCAGCTGACATTTGATACACTCTTCACTTCTGAAGGGCTTCTTCCTTTCCCAGAAGTAAGGCTTTGCTGTGTGCTGCTATAGATATAATGCTGTACACTTGTTTTCTTGTATCTCCTTTGGTCTGAGCTCCTTTCAGACTTTTATAGAATGAGTACAGAAACTACACACTATAACAAGGCCTTCCTTAAGGAAGTTCTTATGAGAATTAAAGGTAAATTAACTTATAGTGCTGTTGGTGTTCCATAAACAGCTGTTATTGCTGAGTAGTACTACTATTATGCCCTTGCACATAATTTAAAATGTATGCTGTTAGAAGTGTCACAATACCAAAAAACTGGCCGTGATCCATCATGCTCTCCAATCTGTCATCAAATAGTAACAGTACTTCCTAATGTTCACTAGGTAGCAATGAATTTTGGATTCACGATTCAAATACCCAAGCTGACTGTGACTGTTCTCTAAAGATAACATGCCTTGGTGAAACAATCTCAGTCATTTCCTATTTTTCTTTTTCTTGGAGAGGTTATACTGAGGACTAATCTTGGGGATCTGCTTTGCACACGCATGTGCTCCACTCCTTGAAGTGTGTCCCTATCTCTCTATCCTTTAGTACTTTTTTTAGCTAGAATCTCACATTTGCCCAGGCAGGCCTCGACTATAATCCTATGTACCCTTCCTGCATAGCTGGGGTAACTGGTGGGTATCACTACTCCCACCCAATGGCGGCGTGGGGAGGTTACTAGCTTTTTGCCCACGCTGGCCTTGAACTGCAATCCTCCTGATCTGATCTTCATTTTCCAGGTAGCTGGAAACAATCAAGTTTGGCTCTTTTCTCTTCCTTCTTTTCTGAAAACAAAATGACGCATGGGGATTGCAAAATACATTGGAGAGCAATCTGCTTTCTGTTTCTATCAAAGGGAAGGTCATAGCAGTGACCGCAGACTAATTAATTAATTAAACTTTTCTTCCAAAGAGGCTACTATCATCTTTTCTATTTACTTATGCTTCAGTATTTCCTTCAAGTAATGTCCCTTTCCACATTGCTTCCGTTTTTCCTTTCTCAGGGTTCCATTCTGAAAAATCTCACTTGTTGACACTTACCTTTGTATTTTATTCTAAAAGATTATGAACCCATAGAGTTACATTCCAAAATACTCAAAATCATGCTTCCATTTCTCATTTAGGCTTGAATTACAGAAAACTGCTCTGTTTTTAGCAGTCAGGTTTTGCTGTGTTTAAGACACTGAGACATCACTATGGAAACGGCAGGTTGTAGCAGGAGGTAGGGCCGCTGACTCAGCAGGTGGCACTTCTCATGGCAGCAATGCCAAATGCCCCAACAAGACAAACATCATAGCATGTTATTTGTTGTCTCACTTTTAAGGAGGCACACATTGAAAATCCGTAACAATTCACTGAATTGAGATGCAATAGGTTTTGTACTGGTCAAAACGTGGCAAGCAGTATAAAAACAAGAAAAAGTACATAGAATGGAAATGTTAACTATTAAACTAAAGTCAATACTTTTATTTATAGAGCTCTCAAGTAAATAGAAACAAATAATTCCATATCAGGATTGGTAGGACTACCAACTACTATTTCACAACTGCAACTACATGCTTTTCTCTCTCTGACACAATTGGCACAGATCCAGGTTTGCTGTGTTTACGACGATTCACTTCCCTAGAAATAAACAAAAGGCACAAATTAGTAAGCTAACATCAAATCATCTTAATCTAAGAAAATTTTCTGAAAGAATGTTATAAAGTATTTTCTTTCACTAGAAAAGCAACCACTGGAGAAAAATTTCTCAGTGCAAATAGGTAACTGCTAATTAAAATTCAACTTCAGCTATGTAATTTGATTGTCCTTTACTGTGTCAAAAACAAAAACACCAGTTACTATAATATATAAAAATGATTCAATTCCAACCCAAAGACAGCCAACAATGGTCAAGCTTGCTAGCTGGGCTCAGTGGGGTGCATTTTCAGTTCTAGCTATTTGAAAGGCCAAAGAGGGAGTTTAAGACTAACCTTTGAGACTTCATCTTAAAAACAAAAAAGCCAGTGGCTTACATCTGTAATCCTAGCTACTCAGGAGGCTAAGATCTGAGGTTCCTGGCTTAAATCTAGCCTGGGCAGAAAAGACTGTGAGACTTTTAGCCTCCAATTAAACACCCAAAAAGATAGAAGTAGAGCTGCGGCTCAAGTGGTAGAGCACTAGTCTAGAGCACAAAAGCTCAAAGACAGCACCTAGACCCTGAGTTGAAGCCCTAGAACTGGCACATGCACACAAAAATTTTTTTGAGATCTTAAATATTATGATAAAGCATATTAGAAAATATGTACATGTTATATATCTTATGTATTGCTCATTTCATATATGTGGGGGGGGGCTCTTTAGATAGGGTCTCATTATGGAGCCCAAGCTGGCTTTGAACTCATAATCCTCCTGCTCCAGCTTCCCATGTGCTGGGGTAACAGGCAGGCACAACCACATCTGGTTTCTTTGAATGCTTTCACTTGGGAAATACATAGTACCTCATATTATAGCTATACTGGAAATCCTTCTTAAACACCTATTCATAGTTCAAATATGAATTTCTGATTGTTTTCATTTCTCTTTTCTCATACTCTTAGATGATTATTGCCTTCCCCATTATTGAGAAAAAGAAAAGCACAGAGGTCTTTAAAAATATCTCTAAGGTAAGGGCTGGGAAGGTGATTCAGCAGTAGAGTGCTTGCCTTGCATGCCTGAGGCCCTGGGTTCAATTCCTCAGCACCACATAAGCAAAAAGAAAAAAGCCGGAAGTGGCGCTGTGGCTCAAGTGGTAGAGCGCTAGCCTTGAGCTGAAGAGCTGAGGGACAGCGCCCAGGCCCGGAGTTCAGGCCCCACGACTGGACCTCAAAAAAAAAAAAATATCTCTAAGGTATAACCGCATATAAACTACTCTCTTGAAAGGTATTTTAATTATGGTGAGATGAGAGGGGAAAGTCAGAAGAAGATACTGAGATAGTTAAATACTTCAATACATACTTTCGTCGACGAGCTTCCTTCATAATACGTTGCTCCTGGATCTGGCTATAGATAGATTTTGGTAGATGTCTATGACGAGCAATACGTTTTACATGGGGATGATACTGAAATTTCTCCTTCAGCTTCTGGTTATAATCATTGGCTGCTTTTTCTCTCTTTGTAAGCTGGGGGAAAAAACATTTTTGAGTCATAATGAATAGTATATTCTTTCTTTTGCTGCAGTTCAACAAAACTATGAAGTAACCTTCTCCCTAAGGAAAAAATTACTTCTAAGATATGCAACCAAATTTCTGGTATATTCATGCCCTTTACAAATTAAGTAATGAATTTCCTTTCAGGTAGCACATGCACAGTACAGATAGATGCCACCAAAAGGGACAAAGCCATGTTGAAAGAGTAGGGCTATGTGCACCACTGAGGTAGAACTTCCTGAGGCATAAATCTATTTCTTTGTAAAATAACTATATAAACAGAAAAGAAAATTACTTGATACATTTTGTTTAAAAAATGTTAAAGTTGATACAAATGAGAACATTTAACAATGTACTAAAACCTAGATATAATGTAATATTTAATACTCATTAAACTTGAAACAACTGTCCTTAATAACTGTTTATTAGCCTTGATTTTCCTACTGAGGCTAATTAAAAAATAACTTACACTTAAACTTTTCTTTCTTAAACTTAATAGTTGTTTCTGATATAAACTGTATGATTCTGTTTGAAAACATGGAACATTTTAGAAAAAGAAAATAAAAATCAACCATAATCTTACAGCCCAGTGGTAGCTAGCCAGTATTATTTGCTATATTTCACTAAATCTTTTTAAAAGTCTGATTCCCTTTTTATTTAAGTGTTTCAGTTTCTTGTTGGTAAGACCTCTCAGGGACTTTCAGCCTTTGATCTACTTAATTATCATTCCTTTAGAAGATGAGAAATGTTCTCCTACATTCTAAGCTTCAAGACCCTACATTATCTTTCTTTACCACAGGAAAACACACAGAACCAAGAAGACTCAAATATTAACAAACACCTGAATTAACAAAGGCACTGTGAGGTGTCCATGACATGAAAAAATAATCAATAGAGCCATGTTAGTCAATAGAGCCTTGTTGCTTTGTTGCTGACTTTTGTCATACTGCTGTCAATGTGATCAAAGTATCAAGGCAATTCAAATAAATATTATAATATCCAACAAAGTCAGAAATTAGCTTTATAGTAATTACAGAAAGTGAGATTTCTTACCACACCCAATTTTTCAGAAGCATTAGCTTTCCACAAACGAATGTTCATTTCATCAGATCCACACATGATATACTTGCTGTCAGAAGTCCACTTTACACAGATAACATGTTGCATTCGCTTTGTGTGATAGATTTCCCTATAGAAGAGGAATGAAGCTCAACACTTGGGAATTATGGTATAGGTTTTCTGTAACTCCTTCCTATCAAATATTAGGATACCAGTTTTGAGTCCTGGAGGACTATAAAAAGAAAATTCAAATTCATTCCAATGTATTGTGTTTTTTTTTCTTTTTAACTGAACTCAACTAATAAGGTTCCATGCTAAGTGCCAGAGAATTAAAAGAAAATTCCTGCCCAAGAGAACATATAACCCAAAGAAACAAATCAGATGTACAAAAAAAAAATCACAAATAATTGATGGTATAAAACACAAATAGCATACAATTTTCAAGCTAGAGTAACATTGTAAAGTGACTTGCTCTTAAGAAGCCCTTATCAACCCCAATTCAGTTCAGGTCACCAATCACATTTATTTTGTTGTTTTTTCTACTGGAAAAGAGGGGAAATAAAAAGAGAAATAAGAAGAGAAGAGAAGAAAGAGAAGAGAAGAGAGAAAAAGAAGAGATAACTCATTGTAGAGGCTGAGGTGGTAGAGCGGTAGCCAATGAAAGCGACAGATATCAAGTTTGAGTCCCAATCTTGGAAGGAAGGATTGGAGGGAGGGAGGGAGGGAGGGAGGAAGGAAGGAAGGAAGGAAGGAAATTAAAGAAGATGAAGGCAATGAATCAAAGATCACATCTGATATGCTGAATCTGATGACTGACTTTCCTCTCCCCTTTGGGCAAATTATTTGGAAAGTTTAATTGAAGTGAGAGTTGATTTACATGTGTGAAAAAGGAAGGCTACAAAAGTGTTAAGTTGAGGTAAGAATCATTTAATAATTGGAGATGTCAAATATCATACCTATTTAAAAGGGCTGTGAAACATGCTAAGTGAATTCACAGAAGATACTATATTGGGAAGTGTTAAGAAGAACTTTAAAAGGCAAGTAAAGGTAACGTCAGACAAAATAAAGCAAAACTTGTGGGAAAATGCAGGCTTTGTGAAAGGAAAGGTTCAATAAATTATGTACAATTAAAGAAAAATCATAGAGGACAGCCAAATCAGGTATAATTCACATCTACTAGATTATCCCTAATCTGTACAGCTTCTGTTTCAAATACTAACATAAGAAACTTATGGGGAGAATGGTTTGAAAGGGAAAGCATACTAAGATGAAAGTTGGATGAGACAGTGCTTTTTTCTTCATGTCAATGTTCTACTTTTCTAATATTCAGTTCCTATTATCTCTTACTTTCTTAAAATTCTTCCTACTCAGGTTCCTAAAGCAATATAATGAGGTTTTAAATAAATGAAAATTCAGCCAGGCTTCAATAACCATTAATAATATCTAGTCAAATCCAACGGTTTATCATTTAACCATGTTAGAATCCTCCTTAGTGATAAACTATGCAGAGTTCTTACATATGATAGATTTATAAAGCTAACTACAAGTTATAGTACCAGGGGATGAATATTTTTTAAATATAAAATTCTTTATGCATAGATCAAAATAAACTAGTTTTTCTATTTGAAGACTATTGATTTATTTTTTGTTCAGGAAATATTGAAATTATAGTAGAAACAAATTCCAAACCTGATGGCAGGTTAGTTTTAAATTTTTTACTCAAAATTTATTTATTTACTTTTTTGGGGGTCAGTCGTGGAGCAGGAACTCTGGGCCCAGGCGCTGTCCCTCAGCTCTTCAGCTCAAGGCGAGCACTCTACCACTTGAGCTACAGCGCCACTTACATTTTTTTCTGCTTATGTGCTGCTAAGAAATCGAACCTAGGGCCTCATGCATGCAAGGCAAGCACTCTACCACTCAGCCACCTTCCCAGTCCCTCAAAATTTATTTTTAAAATATACTTTGACCATTTTAAGATCTTTCAAGAAAAAGAATTTTCAAGATGTAGACAGTCATAGCATTGCCTAATCACAAATTTCTGGAATACTGCAATGATAAGCAATGGGAGCAGACCTTGGAAATGATCTGCAATTAGTTTTCAAGCAGATGAAGGGAATACTATCAGTAACTAAACAAAACAGGGGAACTACAAAATTCTCCAAATACCATCAGAAAATTTTCTAGCTGGACTTGCATTTAGTGGTCCATGTTGGATTTGGAATAATTCAGCCTGAACTCAACTGCTGGGTTCTTTCTTGAATCATAGAAAGTATATGTAGGCCACTTGTAAGGAATTATGAAAATGTGTATGAAAGGGCTTTGTAAAGCATTGTACACTATACAAGGGCTGTATGTGATACAGGAGTTAGGTCTTATAGTAAATTAGTACAAAGACTGAAGAGTACAGCTCAGCAGTAATTTTCTTTCATGTGTTAGGCCCTGGGTCCAATCTCCAGCACTACATAAAAAATAATGAAATCAGACAGTAAAGCAAGGGCTGGGAAGGTAGCTCAGTGGTAGAGCGCTTGCCTTGCATGCCTGAGGCCCTGGGTTCGATTCCTCAGCACCACATAAGCAAAAAGAAAA